ATACTATAAAAAAGTAATCTATATTTTCAAATATTATTATACCAAATTTTATTTGAATATTCTAAATTGTTAAAAAATAGATCAGTAGCATATTTATAGTACTAATACGCCTGCGTTGGTTTACAATCTAAGAGATAATATTTATACTCTTTAATAGTGAATCATCTCTTAATTAACTTTAGTTAGGTTGAAGTAGCTATATGATATCAAAATCTTAAATCTAAAATAAAACTTTTTAATATTATCATCAAAAATATTATTTTTATATGAGATTTATATTTTGGTGCACTCTGCACCATAGTGCATCCCTGATCACAGGTATAAATAATGATCATCAATTATATCAGATTAGTTGATTTTTTTTTTTTTTTTACATAATGTTTAGCTATTTTTTTTTTTTTTGCAGATACAGAATATTGTTTGCATTCCTGTAATTGGAAAATCACCAGTGAGGATTTTATCATTTTTGGTACCATGTTTGGAGTCATTATCACCATAGTCTGTATAACTAGTGGTGCATTTTATCACTCTTGTGTCATGTTGTTTTGCCGATGGTGAGTTTTGAAGTCTTTGTTTCACCTTGTTTCTTTTGTTTTGTATAAGAGCCTTTCTTACATAACGGTTAACTAACATCTACTATTTTCTTTTCAGAACAGTCAACGGTTAGAAATTGCTTTGTTGAAATCGTTGTGTTGGAGTTGTTGAAGTTGCTTCACTATAATCAGAGAATCGTCGGTATATATTTTGTTGCTTTTGGTGCTATGTTATTTTGGTATTGCTATTACCATAGTTGGAGTAACTAGTTGGTAAGGTTTTATCACTTTTATACTGTGTTGTTTTGCCAGTGGTATTATTAGTTTTTGTTAGCCACCTTGTTTCTTTTATTATACAATGTTGAGCTTTTCTTACATAATGTTGACTAATTTGTTTTTTTTTTTTTCTAGGGCAGTTAACAGTTAAAATTGCATTTTGTTAAAGTCGCCGTAGTTGGAGTTGTATTCTCATTGTTATGTTGTATTGTTTAATTTAACTAATGCTCTTCTTTCTAGATTATTGTTAGTCATATCTTCGTGCAGTTTTCTTTCTGATTTCTTGTCTTGCTGATATGTATGTAATACTATAAAACATGTCTTGTTGGTTTTGTCATATTGGTATACTGCTGGTAGTAAATTCGTAGTTAGTGGTTTTGTAACCGGTTCTGCGACTTCGTTGTTTGTTTCTCATTGCCGGTAGCGAATAGTGACTTAATAGTTAATATTTTTTTTAATAGTTTGGGTTAAGTAGTTTGTTTGGGTTTAGAGTTAGGATTAGGATTAGGATTGAGTAGTTTGGTGGTATTAGCGCTATAATTTAGTTGTTTTTTAAGTATAGCGATATATAATGATTCTTTATTTTTTTATAAATAAATTGCAATTATGCAATATATATTACAACATTATTACTATATATATGATATTTAATATACTGTTATAGAACAGTTTATTATTTTATTAGTTTATTATTTTGATATTGTATTTTATTATTTATTTTATTATTATCATTTAGTCTTATTTAGTTATTATTATTAGAGTAGAATTTAGC